CCCCCCCCCCCCCCCAACTATTCCGAAAGATGCAGTGGGTTCTTTAAAGTGCACACGAGCCAGGTGTGAGCGGCACCCCTGCCTTACCGCTCGGCCACTCGAATCGCTCAAAAATATAATGGTCGAATATTTTTTGAAGGTTTGCATGGCGAAATAGGTTCATCGCGTAGAAAAGAACTGTTCTGTTGGTTGAATGTCTCGACGTTTCGATTTAGTTGCTCCAATCGTCATCAGGAGAATACGGTGATCTGCGGAGTCCAAACAGGGAAAAACTAAATTACTGGAAAGTATAAATTATGTGTACAGTAGTTCTACATTTAAATTAAGGGGCTTTAGTACTGTATTATCCATTTCACACCAAAAAAATATAATCGGCTCCCTCGAATAAACGCTCCCCTCGAATAAACGCTCCCTTCGAATAAACGCACCCTCGAAACGACCCGGGGCGTTTATTCGAATAAATACGGTATATTATTATTAACCATGTGACGCTATAAAGGAACACAGAGCTCGCCTAGCAATTTATGTGGGGAATAATAAATTATTTAATCTACATTAGCCATATAATATTTTTTAAAAACGTAGTCCTAAACTTTTCACAAATTCGGCCAAACATATTGTGGCCTTGAATTTCCATACGTTACAGACCAGGCGAATTTTAATACTCGAGATTTGAGATATCTGGCAGTCAAAACGGCCAAATGTCACCACTGCTTAAAACTTCGTGGGTTAAATTTGATTGCATGAAGTTTGTTTTGAATTCAATCTAACGTGAGTTTGCAATGTATAATACATACAGTAGGCCTATTTGTGGCTACTGCGCTTGGCGCAAAGTAGCCACTATTATCTATCGGAAGGATTTTTATTTTATTTACAGTAGGATACCTCTTTTGTGACACCAAAAAAGGGGACACTTTTCCGTGAAAGGAGGGGAAATACATCCTTTAACACTACGGCCAATCACTGTAAGGGAACTGGAACACTACTAAGTGGACACATATTTTTTGTTTCATTGTATTACAACAACTACAGCAGTCCTAAAATAAGAAAAATTCATTCAACTTTATAATATTATGTTGACACCTTTTGAGCAAAACCAGACTTTTCTCCCCTTAATCCTTAGAGTGAACATTGGTATAGGCCTTTGCGATGTGTTACGGTACTTTGGATAAACCATAAATCTTGTTAATTTTGACCTTCTTTCTTTGTTCTTCGTGTACTTTCATATAGGATTCCAATCCACAACAGGCATGCACACTAATTCTATTTTAAGTCGTTACCGTAATCTATCCATCATCCATCCAATTGAAATCTCCATGTTAAAAAAAAAAAAAAATATTTGGTCCAAAACATTGTATCATGAAATAATATTGGGAACAATAAAACTATTGTTGTTTTTTTTTTACTATTACATTTCTGATCATGATTTCATACTATAAATGAATTGTATTTGCATTGCAAATTATTGCTCTAAATTATTTCTAATTTTACTGTAACTGATTATTATATCAATAAAAATTAAATTGTAAAGAATGTACTAGGCCCTATCACTTTATGAAAACATGCCAAAACCCCTATTAATGGAAAATTCATGTTTTTGGTTAGGGGTGCCCATATTAAGTGGCCTTTTTAGTTACTACCGAGGTGTCCCCTAAATAATGGTTCTACTGTATTTGTGATTGGACTCCTCTTGAATTGTGGTACGGTCAAAATGCTTCCTCTGTGTAGTGCAGATATAAGATCGAGTGATAACAACTGTACGCGCTGAACTTTAATGTTAAAAAAGACATGTGAGCCATTGAATCTAGAGGCTGTATGACATATACCCTGTTTAGTCTTAATTCTCTCTTGTTTTTTCTGTTATATTCGTGAACAAAGCAATACATCTCATGATCATAGCTGATTGGATAACTGCTTCATAAAATAATTTTAGTGTGTCATCAATGCCGTAGCCAGCCATTAGGACAGTCCACACAAATTTTCACTTCTTTAAAAATGGGTCCAAATTTCTTATATTTTTGCGTAAACTGATGCAACTTAAAAAAAAATGGGTCCACATTATTTGAACTTACGCGTAAAGTGGGTCCACCCTGATATTGTGCCACACTGTTTGAAATTTCTGGCTAGACGGCATTGTGTGTCAAACGTATAGTCGTGCGCCAATAAAGCCCGATTTCCGCTTTTTAAAAATCTCACCATCAATATTTTTATCAAAACTTTAGATTTTATCCAAGTAAGTGCCAAGATATTTGTATTTTTGGACACGTTCAATTTAATTTCCCTCAAACGTTAATAATAGTGGCTTATCATTTGATTTCTTTCTGAAATCTCACACTATCTTTTTGAGATTTATCTTCAAATAGACACTGCACCATGTGGTTTACCGAACTGGTTATCACGAGCGGTTAAAGATTCTCAGTGAACTTTAAATCAACCAACTCAGTAGTTTGAAAACTACACACATGCCAGAACAATGAGCTTATTTTCCTTTATAAGTGATATTTCCTTATTCATATATAGATACAAGGATGCACATACAGTAAATAGGAACAAAACCATGATGGATGAGAAAAAGATAGGCCTACTAAAAAGTACATAGATAGCACCTATGGTGCTACGTAATATTTCTCCCAGATCTGTGCACGCGTCCGGAGGGTAAAGCGTCACAAACTTTTGATCCTTACAAATTATTATTTAGTATTATTTTGTTAAAGCAGTGAAACAAATTCTGCAGTGGAAGGTGTGGGTGTTAGTTGGCGCTTGTAAACCCAGTAAACAATGGCGTTGTTAAGATAGATATATCAAAATTCACATTATACATATCAAAACGTAAAAGCAAATTAGACTTCAAAATTTGCATTGAAATAAGCTTCCGTGCGCCTCGTAATTATCTTAGAATAATCAGCATAAAGGCGTTCCATACAAACGACTTCGGGTTAGGCCGACAGGAGCCGAAGCGCGACCGAAATGAAGTCTCAAATGAAGTATTAAGTGCGACTGGAATGATCGTTTACCTAGAGTGTCATAATGATTTGCAATTGCTTACGCAATCTTATATAATGGATTGCTTCGCATATCTTATGGATTGCTTCTATTCCAAAACAAAAATATCAGTTCTACTGATTCCATTTAACTCGGTATTTGACAGTATCAAATGAACAGAATGTGTGTGGTCCAGAAATATAAAAACAGCCAAGGCATACTATATTACTACTGCTGCCGTTTAACATAGTTTTCCTGAACCCTAAAACTTGCAATAAGATTTAATGTCATTATAGTAAAACAAAATTACATTATCACAAAATTATGATTGTTATGGACAGATAAACCTCAGTAATGTATATCTTTATGCTGAATCTATACGATTGTTATTATTGTAAATTTATACACAATAAATTGAGTCTTTAAACAGAGGGTGTGATGTTAGTTTTTAGAATAGTCCACATCTGAATGTGTGGTTCTCAGTCAGTATCTGATGAGTTTAGTCTTTGGGCTTAGTGGTGGAGAAGGTAAAAACTAGCAATGGATGACCAAGGTGTTCATCATTCTAGCCAAAGTGACCAACATTCTCCCTCTGTCATTCCAATTGGACTTGAAGTGGTTTACTCAGCATGTCGGAAAGTATATCCAGAACAAATTAATCCCCTTCAAGTCACAGCTGTTGTGAAATACTGGTAAGTTTTTTGTAAGCAGCAGTCGGCCTAGGCCTAGACCTAGGCCTAGAGGAGTCTAGGCTAGGCTCCGGGTCCAGTTAAGTAGGCCCCAAGCCAGGAGGCTATGACTGCAGGGACGGATTTAGGGGGGGGGGGGGGGTGCCGAGCCGGTCCCGGCCTCTCCATTTGGAAAGTAAAAAAAAAAAGAAACGAAAAAATTGATAGCACAAAAAAATCCTCGGAGAGAGGAGGTTATTTTTGGGCGTCTAGCAAACAAGAATTTCGGGGGGGATTTTCCCTCGGACATTTCCCCCGGACCCCTTAGGGTGGTGTTATCCCCTCCCCCATATTCTGACATCTGTGGATCTGCCCCTGGACTACAGCAATAATAGGCTATTCGTCTAGGCTTCTTAGTTAGGATGGTTCTATAAAAGGTCGGTGAATGCCTAGGCCTACAGTATCGTTTTGGCCACGAACATGTTCAGCCACAATGTATGAAACACATATAGTTTTGTAAGTTTTCAGTCAATTCGAATAAGGGCAATAGAAAAAATTATTAGATAATATCACTCTTTAAAAAAAAAAAAATTGATGAGGGCGGGAGGTTTGGTTTTTTTTGCAGGGTTGGGGGGGACGGGGTGGGATTATACCCGGGGATTCCCATGTGCATGAACAGAACGAACATGACATGGTTTTTCGAAGTGACAGATGCATTTAAACAACTGCCCTGTGATCCCACAGCTGTGGAACACGCGAGGCTACATGCTGTGAATTAACAGACGGACTGCGGTGTTGTTTATTTTTAACCGCAGGTTAAGAGCTGTTTATCTTTAATAAACAAGTTTAAAGAATATGCTTTGCATTTTCAACTTTACGGCGATCGCAATGTCTGATCTTATCAATTGGAAGAGTTTATAGTCTGCCAAATTCAGAGCCAAGAACACTTGGCAACTTGATTAATTTTAAGCCTTTAAGATAATATTTGAAGAATAACGTAATCCTCATCAGGATTCAAATCCATTACCTATCAATAATACCGTAAGGATACTCAGGGAGTTGGGATACTCTATCAACTTTAAACTTATATGAGGCCAAGTTGTATGAAATGCATCCTTGAATTTTTGCATTTTGTGTCATTTTTTGCAACTTGTCTATCATGTGATTTCTATAGTGCTTTTAGTTAACTTACTGAAAAGGTAAACAAACCATACTTTTCAATATTTAAAAAAAAAATTATATGCCCCTGTTTTTTTTAATGAAGGCAAATGCCAGTGGCGTAACGATGGGGGGGGGGGGAGGCCTGTGTTTTTCTGAAACTCGGGCCCTTTTTGGGTCCCAGTCACCAATTCCATCGTGGGATTTTAGATGTGCATTGTTATTCTAAATGTTTTTAACAACGAATAAATGATAAATATAGATCCCGAAAATTGAGGCCAGGGAGGGAATTTCACAGTTGGAGAGTCTATACCGCCTCGGGCCGACGGGGCCCCCTCTCTTTAATCGTTATTGCTGTTTGCATATTGCAATTCATATTCTTGATAGCAATTTGACCTCTGAAAGGTCATTGTTTGTCAAAAAACAAGGGCCTATTAAGACGACTGAAAAGCGGAGTTTCCTTCTTTCGTTCTGCCGGGTAAAATCAATTACTTTAGGCGACGTTTGCAGACTAACCTACTCGTACCAACGTCCGCATGTCGCGCTAGCCTTATCCTACTCTAGGCCTAGACTAGCTGGGATGGTATTATAGGCCTAGTCTTGAAGGGACGAAGGTCCCAATGAAAAACAACGTCGCTCCTTGATAGCTAACATCACAATAATTCATTATTACACCTATAGTTGTTTTTTGAATTGTACTCCACAAATCTCAGCCGATACCTCGCACAACTTGTTAACGTCTCGTATCTATTGTCGTGAAGTCATGGCTCCCTGGCTCACACTTGTGATGTCTCGCACTTGTGATCAAATAACACGCTGGCTCGTACTTTGGCAACACTCTTTGGCAGTCAACTTGCCCCTAGAAAACCCGCCCTAGGAAACTTGCCCCATAAAAAAATGTACACTTCCTAGACCATGTAGTCTTCAAAATAAAAATTGTAACCTTTGGTAAATCAACTACATTTTCCACATACATAAAAATTTTTGAAACTTTATTAAAAAAAACCTAAACCATAATTCACCACTATAGACACTTTTTGACAAAAATGAAAAATTACGACTTTGTTACCCAATGGAAAGTGTTCTAATATAGACAATGGGTCGTGTCTCATATTATTTGTTATATTTTTTATTATTCATTATTTTCACTTGACTCGCATAAATAATTCATCATCAAGATCCATGCTAGAGTGTATTGCTATTTTTCCAATTTTCAACGTAAGGACATTTTTATACAATTTATGGATTCTGTCTCACAGTAAAATGTCAAATTGTAGATACTGTACAGTAATCCAGACAAAAGATAAAAGGGTATGTGGACAAACATTACCTCCCCAAAGGAGCGAATTTTTAAGAGGCTATTGTTTTGACCAGTTTGCACAATGAAGTTCCAACCAATTACCAGTCCAGTACAAATGCCCTCTACTTCTACTTCTTTTTGCTATCAAAATTTGTTTGTGCTCTGAAACTAATGTGAATATTGTATTTTTGATTAGGCTAAATGGGCCAGACCCACTTGACTACATCAGCATGTACAGGAATGACGGCAATGAAGATAAGGGAATACCACCACACTGGCACTACGTTAGCTTTGGTCTTTCTGACCTTCATGGTGATGGTAGAGTACACGAGTAAGTCAGTAAATTTTTTGTATCATAATTGACTCTGATTGGTGATGATAAATGTAAAAAATAGCTTTAAGGTGCCATTTCCTGAGTGTTCAAACAGTGGTTTTTTTTTCTGGCTATAGTAATGATCAAGTCAGATATTATACATAATTGTGTTAACTGCAAGTCTAGTTATTCTTTAATGCCATTTCACACACAGTAGCTTTGCTTTGTAATTTTAGATACACAGGGCCAGATGGGCCAAGTGGATTTGGATTTGAACTGACATTCAGATTAAAGAAAGAACCAACAGAAACAGCTCCACCAACCTGGCCAGCAGAACTCATGCAGAGCTTGGCACGCTATGTTTTCCAATCAGGTCTGTAAAAATAAAAAATATCTACAGCCAGTGGCGCAAGAAAGCGGGGGGGGGGGGCGATCCAGAATTTAGCAGTGACCCTCTGTATATTCGCCTCTGCAAAGACGCATGGGGCACCTGGCCAAGACAAACCTCCTTTTCGGTCTTTTTGACGAGGATCTATTATGATGTATTTTACATCTTCTGAAAGGGACTCTTTGGCTGATTTGGGATGATATGGACAATGCTGATGGACATCCAGAGCCTCTTTAAATTATGGGCTCCTGGCTGTCGCTAATAAAGCTTATAGCTGTTACGCTACTGTTACAGCCACATATTACTAAATAATCTAATTTTTAATACTATAAATCTTACATTCTTTTCTTGTTGTACTGTAGGACAAAGGTGGGCAAGGTGTGGGCTGTGAGCTACTGTATGTGGCCTTTGGGCTGTGCAGCCTAACAACAATTTTGTTGCAGCTCGTGAAAATAAAAAATGTGTGGCCCGCCTATTTTATTTTTATTTATTTATTTCTTGTTTAAACTGGGTTAACAACTCAGGTGAAAAACAACTGTTATCCTTATGTGCCCAGGATGTGCCTACCATTTTCTAATGTAACTTTATACTAATTGCCTAGCATTCTGTAAACGGGTTAAGCCCGAACATGTTTAATTTTACATAGGCCTAATATTAATAATCACACAATGCGTCATACATGTAAGTAGTATAAGACACTTTTAATCTTTTGTGAATGTACTGAAATTGTGATATGTGTGCCAGTTGTCCGAAGTTTGGTTTTAATTTAATTGTGGCAATCTTCAGAAGTGACTTTGGGTAAGCTTACTGCAGAACCTGTGATTTTAGTTCTTCATCTGCTTTTAAGTCATCAGTTCAAGCTGAAGTTTAGCATCATTTGGACAATATTTGTTTACTTGAGCATTCCATGGACCTTTGAGACGTACAATGAACAGACTTTTAATCAAGGTAAAAATAGAATCATGGTCATTAAAAGTACCCTATCAAACTGGTCATAGAACACTGCAGTTAAATCCTCAATAGACTTGATGTGATCCTCAAGTGAAGTCTGACTGTCAATCTTTGACTGATACTCCTTTAATTTAGGATAATGTCATAGTTCACCATTAATCAAATTGTCCCTGAATATTGCAAGTTTGGCACCAAAAGCATTCACCTCCTTCCATAGGTCAAATATAACTGTATTCCTTGCATGTTGCAGCTGGTTTAGTGCATTCAAGTTGGCAAACAACAAATACTACATCCTCCATTACCTTCTTGTTGCTAAGTAAAGCTTAGAAATCATAAACAAGTTTCTGTTTGATTTGAAGCAGCAATGTATGCAGTGATTGAGTTCAACACAGCCCATAAAACTTTCATATTATCTCCTTGAATTCTGATCCAATAGACCGCATTATGGTACTGGACACTAAAACTAGCCTGGTTTTCTACAAGGAACTCCTTAAATTCTCTGTTCCTGAGAGAGTACTGGCCCCCTCAGATAACTCACCAATTCATAAATACTTAGCATAGTTTGCTTTCTCAACTTACAACATAACACACTGTTGTGAATATTTTGAATCACAGATTTCATTTTTGTCGCTAAACCTTTTTCCTTGCCTGTTATGACAGGAGCGCAAACGGTTGTCAACGACAACATATTTGTTATAGGGATATTAATAGATGTGAAGTTTGATGTGTTACTGCTTTGAAAGAATCTTGCATGTTGTCTACCCCAACATATGCGTGAGTGCAAGCAGTTCCACTCAAAAAAGCTGATCATCATTGTCAAAGAATCTCACAAAAAGATCAAGTTGTGAAATGTTTGTGTAGTCCACAGACTCATTTACACATATTGATATATCATCTGGTTTTCATAATTTGCCAACAAGAGTGTGTTGTATGTTCTGCAAGCCTTTCAGTATATTAAGTGTCTGTACCATTTGAAATCAGAATTTTCTCAAGTTGTTTACTGATTACCGATCGCATTTGTGGTGGCAACATGCAGTTCAAACTGCTTCACTACTATCCAATGGCATTTTGTTTTTGTTTAGAATCAAAGTAATGCGAAATGATGCCTTAGTTCAAAAACACATTGAATACTGCTAAGCCCTATAAATCGCACGCCCTTCATTTTTGATAAAACAATTGCAAAAATTAAGGGCGCCAAAATTGCGAAATTCTGAATATTTTTTTCTTCAAAAAAAAAATTGTAGGTGGTACAGTATACAACTGATATTTCATCATTAAGAATTTTGTGGAAGGTTCTGCTTTTTTGTGTATTACAGTTCTCCCTCCAATTAAAGACTACTTTTCTGTGGCCCCTGTTGAATGTTCATCTTTTTCATTAGCTGTTCCCTCTGATTAATGACTCTCTATTGACCAAAAACCATGGGTTTCATGGATCCAGCTGACAATTGATGTTAATAAAACAAGAATGCTGTTATATCTTCTGTGTTACGAATGTCATGCCCTATCATATGAGTGACATGTTAACTTTACTTGTGGAGGGAATTGGCTTCTGATGTGCAAAAATCAGGGGAGGGGGAGCATTGTCGGAGATTGCTCGCCAAAATCCGATGCTCTAGTTATAGTATAGGCTAAAGAACATAGTGGTAGGTTTCTGCATCATGCTAAAAACATGACTGGAAATTATAAAATCGTGAAAATAAAAGACTGAAATATTTCCAATTGTAAAATCGCGAAAATAATGGGCTTTACAGTATATTACATTGGATCCAGAAGAAATTTTGCTGGTGTGACATTGATGTCGTCATTTGTCATCACTGTCTTGTACTCTGACAACCACAGGGTATGAATTAGCTTATAATTTATGCAAGGTATCATATCGGTTGGATTTCTTCAGTACAGCTATGGTCTTTGCACATATCATGCACACTGGTTGCCTATAATGGCTCCGCCTACCTTCCTTTGACAAATTCCCTATTCAAGTCTTTTTATATTTTCAGCAGTTGAAATGTATATGGAAGGAGTAGAGTTGTTTTTATTTGCAACACAATTTTGTGGCATAATGACAAGAAGTGTACCCAGAACTCTGGGATCAGAAGGCAAGCATGTTGAAGCTGCAAGCTTTTAATCTACTGTACCCTCGTGCACCGATCAAAAGTAATATTAAAACTGAACGTAAAGCGGTATAAAAGTAGTGTATTAAGTGCACATGGATATTTCAAATTACCACCATTAATATCTATGTTTGAGTGTTTAATAAAAATACAGTTTTGCCATCCAACCTATTTTTTATGGCCACCCATTTTTTAGGAGGACATGATACTCCAGAAAATGAATTACTGCAACCTGATTATATTGTGTTTTCTAGATTAATTTTTTTCATTATAGAAAATACATTGTGCAGTGGAGACCATGTTTCATGGCATAATCCATTAGATAATAGTGAGTCCAGGATTCAACACATGCTGATGACTGAAGACCCTCAGCTTCCTTCTATCTCTACTCCATTGGGCTATGTTAACTTCGTCCAGGTGAGCCTGAACAAATAATTTTAATATTTAAATCAGAATAATTGGAATACATGTTCATAGAGTACACCATACTTTATTTTATGTGGCTGTTTATTGCATATTATGCAGTACTTTGAAAATGTGTTTCAAAATTAGTAGTGTTGCCTCTAAGATACATTTAGGGCTCCGTTCCGCAACCTATGGGTTGCGACTCTATGTTTGGGTTGCGAAGAAATTTTGAAGTGTCGCCAGTCGCTTCAGAAAAAAATTATGGTAACAAACAAAAGTGCCGACAAAAGAATGCCAACAATCGAACCCCGATGCATGTAAGTTTAATTTGATATTTACCGTGCGAATACATTGCTGTTCTGTTCTAATTAACTTAAACAGCAGCCATTTGGTAAAGTTTTGAATAAAAGTTAAAAAAATATATCAAGATATCAGCCAGGTTGTGATAATGTTTCTAATGCCGTTCTTGATGACAATGTGATGTGTGAGGGTGGATTTCAATTGTTACCTATTTTTGCATAGAAATCAAACTAATAGCAAATTATGAAAAAAAAAAATGTGGGGTCGTCATATGTGCAACATACACATTTTTGGGAATTTTAATATAACATACAAATTTACTACTAAAATATGCTTGACATACAAAAATTGTCCAAAAGTAGCAAACACAAGGGACGTCTTATATGCAGATTGTCTTTTAGGCTTATTATGGTTCATATCTCATGTTCAAGTATCGGAACAGCCTGTAAACAGTGATCCTGTTCTGCGATGTTATTGCTGCTCTAAAGCCGGATTGATGAACTTGCTGTCAAGAAGTAAACCATCACACTTACAGGGCTGGTATTACTGTAAATTTGATGATCATATTTTGGTGTGACACACAATATCATTGTACAGTGTACACTTAATTTCAAATTTTAATTCCCAAAAAATGTTATTTTGAATTTAAAGATGTTACATACAGTAATTACTTTCTTTGGTGTTAAAAAACTTCTTGAAATTAACATCTTGAGTAGAATTGCATTATGTTCTGATAAATGTTGCATTTATTCCTTTCCAATAAAGTTACTTGGTGTGTTAATGTAATTTTTCTGTGCAAAGGATTTTTTAAACACTTGTATAAAATAAAACTACAACAAAAAAAAAAAGAATAAAGTGTGTGATTGAGTATGATCTCTAGCACATGGTCGGAATGTAAATGTACGTCCTTGAGTCTAGAATATCAAAGCAAAATAACAAGGTATAACTAGGTACATATTTTTATACTTTTACATTTAACATCTTTCTTTAAATTAAAAGACAAAATTAAATAAAGTAAGGAGGCAATGAACTCAAGGTAGTGACTGAAACAACAACAATAACCATATTTATTAATTGGCCGAGCCAGAGGTCGATGGGTTGCGTGTTAAAAATTTGGATTTGGGTCACAGGCTACGAAGGTTGTGGAACGGGGATTTAGGGGACTAATCTCTCTGAGTGGTTCCAGGGACACCACTGGTCCTAATGAGAGAATCCATGAAAGTATGCCAACTTTCGGTTCAGTTGGTAGAACCAAGTTTTTTTGGTTAAGGACTTAAAATGGAGGTCCAGTGTATACATCTGGCTCGTGTGCACTTTAAAGAACCCATTGCATCTTTCGGAAGAGTTATTGTTCATTTCAGCCCTGTCGTTATGGAATGATGTGAACATGTATCTACCATGAAGCGCCTCTTTACAGGTGCTAGTAGTCATGGACCACGCCCATACGCAATTCAGCACAATGACGCTGCAAGTTATGGGTTATTCTCCTACCTTTACCTTTGTTGTCAACGACCAGTAATTTTGGGTTAAAATCCTAACAATATATTTTTCTAAAAGTACTGTACCATAAAAAAGAAATATATAGGTGAAATAAATACTCTACTGCCAAGGATTATTAAGTGTTGCTGTTCTGCCAGGTTGTTGGAGTTTGTAATGAGGAGTTGCAGGCTGCACAGAGGTGGAATGGACCAGCTGTGATTGAACTGTTAAGGACTATACCATTGTAAGTATACAGAAGAGTCTCTAATTTTAGATCATGTTAGTTATTCTGTAGACAAGCATTAAACTGAATTTTCCCCTTAATTTTATTTATTTTAAGTTTTCTTTAACCATGGTATAACCATTCAGTGACCAGTACTGCTTTCCAAGGAAGCCCTGGTAATTACAGTAAATTTAACAAAAATATGGAGAAAAAAAGTGTTTGTAAATGTGAAATTTAAAAGTAACTCAAAAATAAATTAAGAACAAAAAAAAAGACGATAATAAAGTAGCCTAGAACTGAAATGAAGGCTGAAAAATTAAAACTTAAAGAACTAAAATAACCAAAACAAACAAAGCAATCAAAGAGAAAGAGAATCAAAATTGTTACGAATGATTGTTCCAAAGATGAGCAGCTCTGATATGAAAAGTAAGCTCACCACAATTTGAATTTGAATGAGGAACAACCAAAGTATTTGATATTTGATTCCTAGTAGGGTAAGAGTGAACAGAATTTGAATTTAGAAGATAGATACTTAGGGGCATTACCATAGTACCCCTAACAGCAGTGTTAAGCAGGGGCCCTTTAGAACATTTTTAATCGCTTTCATTTCAATTAGAATGTACTTACACATTAACATACAATTATTTAAATAAAAGGAAGCACAAAACACCCTAGGAACAGTGACAAAATAAAATTCAAAAGAATTAACATTGGAAGGGACGATACCTCAAATCAAAGAAAAAAAAAAACAGCAGCAAAATTACACATAAAACAGACATCTTGATTACATATGACAACTATAAAATATATATACCCTGTAATAAAAAAATATATCAATATAGAAATACTCTGATATTCTGGGCATCTAGGCAATTAACTGAATTTTAAATTTTTTAAGAAAAGGTGGATTGTTCCAGGTGAATTCAGCTTTGTGGTTGAAGATACAGTTAAACTTGCCTAAGTCGAATAATTTCTAAGTCGATCTTATTTTACATGCCAAATTGTTGTGTTTTCCATTAATTAACAATCTGTAAGTTGAATTTTATCTAAGTCGAACAATATTTCAGTGGCATTTTGGATTCGACTTTAGGCAAGTTCAACTGTATTCTGAATGTGGAAATTATTGCAAGTTTGGAAATGTTTGGTTTGAATTGTATTTGGGACATGCCTATTACAAATGAAGTGTATTGTCTTAAGCCTAATTTAATTATCTCACTGAGATGAATCCATGTGTATGGATTTCGAGGGCGACAATTTATGGTGTGGTCCTGATGGTATTGACCAGTGGTTTACCTTTGCCTTCAAGGGGATCAAAGCATAAATGGAATATGATGGGGGAACAGGAGGTCTCTGAAACATGTCTTCAGAAAATGCAAATGTTTCTGAAAACAACTCTTTTGTTATAACCTTTCCAGAAAGGTTACATTATAGATTTTTAATGTAATTTGTAATTTACAAGGATCCTTGTTTGCACGACATCTTGAAGTGACTGCAGCACATGTGGGCAAATTCTGACCTGCAGGCTGCTTGAGGCCCGACAGTGATTTTTTACGGCCCAGGAAGATGAATTAAAACACAAAATGAACAAAAGTGTCCGTATAATTGTTTCTTTCAAAAAAGCAGTAAGAGCCAGCTCTTAAAAAAAGAAAGATTTCTTTAAAATTCTGAAGTACCATTTGTTTGGCACCCATGTTTTCTTGCTCAAATACTGTTTTTTTTTTTTTTATGGTTATTTCCTTTTGTCAATTCAACATACAATTTCTCTAAGGTTAGATTTTACTTAGAACATCAATAATTCCGGCCCGTTGACACCCGGGCCCGTTGCCACCCGGCCCGTTGCCACCCTAGGCCCGTTGCCACCCGGCCCGTTGCCACCCTAGGCCCATTGCCAAACAGGCCTTTTGCTACCCAGCCCGTTGCTACCTGGCCTTTTGCCACCTTTAGGAATGTCGAATATTTATATTTTATTATTTTGGTGGGTTTTTTTACACAGATTTGTACTAGAAGGCCTACACTGTAACAGATTTTTTTCTTGATTAAATTTACTTTCCAGTTTAATATTTAATTATTAGTTTACTGTAGTTCATTTCAAATAATCGTCCATGTGCCTTCTCACCACCAGGAGAAAATTGCAGAAGTAAACGTTGTTATAAATCCAAATAAAGAGAGAAATACTGGAGTGTCTAGTTTATTTTCATATTTTATTTTTAAGAATATTGTTATTCTAAAATAGAAAGAATAGCCAGTGCTTTTACAATTAAAAAAACAACACATTTATGATAATAATAAATAAAAAGTATAGCCGCGTTAGTGATCTGTACAGTATAGAAAGTATAAAGTAAAAAACAGCAGCACTTTTGAGACTAATAGTATACAGTATAATTTATTCTCTAGCTTTCGTCCACACAGTGGACTTCATCAGGAGACTGTACAAATGGGATAAGAAACAACTATAATATACAACTGCAATAATGGGGGAGGGGCGGTCCTAAAACAACAAAGAATGGTGTACAAAGCAAGTACAAGTCTGCCGAAATAAGCAATCTAAATAAACAGTATTAAAAGCACAAAAGATCAATGATAAGAAACTGGGAAATAGCATACAAAATATGTCTATGTCAAAGTCAATGATAAAAACAGTAAATAGGCAGTAAATACAGTAAGGTAACTATGAGACAAAAATATAGTTAATAATAAGGCAGCTATAGAAATATAAAAAATATACATACAATGATGAGAAATAATTATTGACGGTAATGTGCGAGCAATCCTCGATCAATGTTAAGGCCTAGTTCTATACAGTCTAATTGTGTAATTATTTTCTGTTCAGCTATTTCTCGTTCTAAACTATTTTTGAAAAATTCTTTCTTAACTACTTGCACTTTCATATTCTTAATTGAGTGGCCGGAAGATGCAAAATGATTAGCTACCGGTTTTTGGGTGAGTTTGTGTTTGATGTCATGTTTATGACCATTAATCCGTTGTCTTAGTGTTTGTCCAGTTTGTCTGATGTAGAGAGCATTAGGGCAAATATTGCACGATATAGCATATATAAGGTTGGATGACATGCAGTTATAAGTGCCTTTTATGTTGAAATGATTATTGTTAGGTCCTTTGACAATGTTACTGGATTTGATATGTGGACAATGATAATATGATAATAATGAATGATATGATAATAATAGTTATTTATATAGTATAACCACAAGCCTATATTATGTGTGCATAATGAACTTTATGGAATTCATTTGGTATTTCTCTCTTTATGCGGACAATTTATAACAAGCATATATATTTTCTCATAAGAAATAACCGTCATTGATAAACTTTGGATGAAGCTCTTATTGTTAGCGGTATAACTACAAAGGATATGGCGCTCGGTAACATAAATGATCTGAGCAAACTAATCCTCCTGATTGTTTATACTGTGACTAGGGCTATTGTTCAGATTATAGGGTCTTCAAGCCTAATTTGCGTGGCCTTCAATTGGTCGGTTGGACAATTCCCCCACCCATGTTTTTTCTATTGGTATACCAGAGCTATATATGATCCTACATTTGGCTTAATTTCTTTATACAACAAATTATGAGAGGTATAGGCCTATTGTATGGGCATGGGCCCATTTTTTATAGTGGTAGCAGCATTAACATAATATCATGTTAATAATAATAGCATATCATCGCTATTTTCATCATTTCACTATATTTATGTTCATTATTATTTCCACACTCAAAGTCAATTAAATCAACAACAAAAATATCTGTTCAATTTATAACACTACAAGAATTTTAATTCATGATGTTCTGCCTTCACAAAAACTGTAAAAAAACATAAACACACACACACCTAACTAAAAACAGTACATACTCAGAAAACATATAGGCCTACATGTACGTCTGAATACATACAAATAAAGATTGAAAGCTAATCAGGAAGCTACTTCACACGTGTGCCTTTCATAATGGTAAACCACAACGAATTGTCATTGTTTACAATCTCCCAAACAATCAATCCATTCATCATTCAGTACACATAGTTTGGCAAAAATGCCGAGAGTAAATCTCTGCGAATACAATGCATAGGCCTACTATACAACTATGGGTGGCAACAGGCCTACGGTGGCAACAGACCGGGTGGCGACGGACCGGGTGGCAACGTTCCGGGTGGCAAAGGGCCTATGGCGGCTAAAGACTGGGTGAAAACAGGCCTAGGTGGCAAAAGGCTGGGTGGCAAAAGGCCGGGTGGCAATGGGCCTAGGGTGGCAAAAGGCCGGTGGCAAAAGGCCGGGTGGCAAAAGGCCGAGTGGCAAAAGGTCGGGTGGCAAAAGGTTGGGTGGCAAAAGGCCCGGTGGCAACAGGCCAGGTGGCAACGGGCCTAGAACCATCAATAAAATATAAAGCATTATATAGATAAATTAATAATGTTAGTTGCTCATTGAAAAGTCGGAGAAAGTATGGAACAAAACAATTTGGAAAACATTTTGATTGAACATGTATCTCTAAAGTTGTTGGCCAGATCTTTTTTAGATGTATTTTACAGTATTTTTTTGATGCAGCATACAAACCTTTGATTCTACATGTGAGAATTGACAGTACCCATGATCATTGCACAGCATGCCAGCCACTACTGTATGTGGAGAATCCCTAAAATTGCTTAAAGCATGTCTGTAAAAATGTTCCATGATGCAACTACCCAGAATTAATTACACTAGAATGCAGTGCGTAATAGTAAATAAATTATTTTGTTTCTTTTAAATCTAAACATTTATTTTAAATGAATCTTTCTATTTGTATGTGATCAGAATTTAATGTTGAATAGTTAAACATTAATAATTTTATAGGGCTTTTTACCAATACCTCAATACTGTCAAAACATTTACTTTATGTTTGCATCCACTCAACATGTTTTTGTTCTTTATGTTTGTATAGTATATTTCTATATTGTTATGTTAGAGTTTTTATCTCCAGTGTGTTAGTAATTTCACAATTATATGTTACGTTTAAATTTATTTGTTTGGATGAAACTGTGTTAACAGAAAAGAATTACATCTACTATTTAAACTACTAAACATATTGGATTTCTTTGTCAGAGCTGGGGGCATATGGCTTGTAACTGATATGAGAAGAGGTGAAACAATATTTGAGCTGGATCCTCAGTTACAGGAACAGGTTGAGCGAGGTATCAATAATGAGGGTTCAAACCTTAGTGGCGTCAGTGCTAAATGTTCATGGGATTGCCCTAGAAGAGATTTATACGAGTTGGAACCCTCCAGTCCAAGGATCACTAAATTACGTAAGTATTCATTGTAACTGAAAGTATGAAAATAAAAAAAATTTGCAAGTTTGTGTTACTTTTGTAAGCAAAGATGCACTCAACAGCCAATGCCATGAAAGACTTAACTCAACCATGGTGCTGTAGACCGTTTATCGTTTTGATTATCCAGTGTAAATAACTACAGCACCTTTTGAAGTTCAGAGATGAATTTGAGTGTTCTTTTCATTCATTTTATATTTAATTACTAAAAACATAGGTGAGGAGGGCCTGGGCCAGTTGGCCCCTCCCTTAAATCTGCCCCATGGTGTTTATACATAGAAAGATTGCCTTCCAAAATCAGTGGACCTATATCCTCTTAGGCCTTTTTATGTTAAAAATGATTGTCCAAAGATCAATTAAAATAAAAAATAGAGAATGTCCGATCTTCTAGGTAAAACATCCTCATACCCAAGCTAATGTGCATGGAAGAGCTCCAGCCAAATCGACCTTCTAGGTAGTGCTGTGGACCCTACATACCATTACCCCAAAATGTTTGCTACCCCAGATTTTCAGTGCATGGGTTGTAGCTGGATAGCATCCTTGAACTAACTATTATTATGTGTTATGTGATCTATATATTAAATCTGTTATTAAACACATCAACATAACTTTACCTATCTCTTCTTAAACCGCTGGCATATTTTTTATATAACGTCACAATTTTTATAGAAAACTATAGTTATTATTCACAGAAAGTTGGATAATCTAAAGATAGTATAAAGCTATCGAAGAATGTGATGATTTTGGGAAAATAGGTTTTCTTTAATTAAATTTTACACTATTTTAGATGTACAACTGAGATAAGAAAAGTGCGTTTTCGACGCCGTAGCCTTCCAACACTTGAGAGTGGAAACGACCCACACCTATTCTTTTCTAATAAAAGTTTATAAATTGTTCATAGGTTGTGTTTAGATAGAGAAACTGAAGTTTAGGGTCAAGTCAGCTACACCAATCAACAACTCAAATTTACGTAAATCCTTCGTTCCTTCCTAGCACCTTGAGCACTACTGCAGTGGATTTGTGCGCTTTATAAATCTTATTATTATTATTTATTATTCGGAACATTATCCATGGCCTATTTTGTTAGTTATAGACTTATCCACCTACTTCAATCATAATAAAAAAATATTTATCTCACGCCGTCTGTATCTATATGTTGCATTTTCACATGCAAGAGGGTACTGTACTCCAATGTATTATGAAAATCAACAATTCCTCACAAGAACTATTCGGCAGAGACATGCACACAAAACATTATCTACAAAGAGGTCCTTTTGAAAAAATAATGATTGGCTCCACAACTTTCCATAACAATTAGCTATAAGCCTCGCCACCTTTTCACCCTAATTTTTAACACTGTAGAGCACAGGTATGTGCTAGTTTTTTTTTCTCTCTTTAGTGTGGGTTAACCACCTTTATTCATTTCAGTATTGTTTTCATATTTTTCATTTTACAAGGATACAATATTTGCACAATGTCCTTGCAGACTTGCATTCATCATTTACATTATACAACTAATACAGATATTTGCAAATTTGTACAAGTCAATAACCAAGAGTAACAACATGAATTGACATATTATGTGACTATCATTGTTGTGCTTTTCTATTTATTTATTTTTTAATTCTTGTTTTTTTTAATTTTTTTTTTTCAGAGCACAATATTACTAAGTTTATATGAAAGGGGTTCCGTCATTTTATAGATGTGATCAATTCATTAAAAAAAATAATTCATTTAAATCTTATTTAACAAAAAAGAACACAATAAAAGTCAATTATATTATTATTATTATTTTTTTACAATACAATAATACAAGAAGCATAAGTTCATTTCTGTGTATTTCATTTCTGTTTGTAGCAGGTCTAAAATCTTAGCCTTATAAATACAGTAGGCACCTAGAATATACATGCATCCAGGTATGTTCTAGTTGATAATTAAGAGAATCTTTTTTTTTTTACAATTTTTGCAAGTCATTTTTATTAACTATTGCAATAAAGCTTGAATATAATAAATGAATAAACTGTAGTGTCATCATGAAAGTCGCTCTTGTATAATGAACTACCTTATCCAACTATTATTTGTTTTCTACAGAATCAGAACAGATAAAAACAGCTTTGAAAATGGGTCTGGCATCTGAGAAATCACCACTTCCACCAATTCAATCAAAACAAGAAATGGAACACAACTCTGGATTCAAACACGAACGAGATAGGTATGTGTCCTCATAATAATATTTTAGTATTGCAGTAATAATTTGTGAATTGGTGACAGGATATGTAAAATTATTTTGAAAAGATCACTAGTGGTGAAAATTTTGTGATCAATGTTTAGATGCAAAATTTTTATTTCTTTTGAAGAGTGATACCATTTTGGTGTATTCTAGAAGTTCTGCTAATATTCAGGGTTCCTTTTAATAAATGAAGTATTGTGATGCTTTATAAACCAAGTCTCATTTCAAGGCTTAGGGAGTGAAAGTGTATTAATTAAGAGAAGTAACTTTGTGCCATCACATGAAATAAACAGGACATTGGGATTGGAAGGCAAGCATTTTAACCACCAAGCTCCACTCAGGTTATAGTCTATAGTAAGGAGAATATGGTACATCTTGATGAATAGGAGTTGAGCTCTGTTTTATGTAATATTTAATTTTTTTTTCTTTTATTTATTCGATCTTTCATACTATACAAATGGCAGTGCTATGTTGAAATGCATTTACAAATATGTATATATGTATGTATATATATACGTATATATATACGTATATATGTATATATA